AAACTTTTAACAATCCACCTTTAACCTACCACAGGATATTATCGACAGGATATAATGAAGTCTGGGTTAAACTTCGTTCGCTAACACCCAAAACACTTTCCGAACGTCTTTACAGGCCATTAAATAATAAATTTTCTCTTCGAGCAAAACGAACACCGAGCTTCCTTCTTTAACCCTCTCCCCGTTTCTTCTCTTCGTATAGCCCGAAGATGCTTGTAAAATTATAAGAGGCTTAATGCAGTGATTAGTACAAGAGTACTTTTAAAGGAAAACGAGGAGAAACTTTAATTAAGTTGAACGCGTAAATACGGAAAACTGCTTCAATAAAACAATGGACCGGGAGATAGCACAGACTAAGAACGGGCGGGAGGTCCTATGATTCTTGATACAAACGTCTTTCAAGGACAAATTAGGAACCGTAGGGAAGTCGTTACGGCCGCGTAATGGCGTCGGGAAAACTCCGGGCGAAAACCCCGTTTTGCCATCCCACACCCGGAAATGCCACGTTTCACAATACCCCCCAGCTTCATCTCGGAAAGTGTCTTGGAAAGTTAGGACGAAGAGATATAAACGTTGCTAAATACGCAATTAAGGAGATTTGGCGGGTTGATGAGGAAAATTATTAACAAAAACGATTATATAAGGCAACTTTTGTTATCTACTACAATAACAATACTAATTCATACTAAATTTCACAATATATATGATATATCTAGATCATTATCATTAGAACTAGCTCTAGAACCAGAACTAGAAGTCGTGCATCATCAACTCGAAATTTTCTTAATTGAACTAAAAATTAAATTTTACGAGTTACATATCGCATTGATATTTTGATAATTAGTTCCATCGATATTCGCAAAGTTCTACTTTGTGTAGAACTCGCTTATACAATTACACCTATTTGAAATGAGACTATGTGCATTAGAGAAGTTTGACATGGAAATGAACTTTCTAATTTTGTTAGTTTCGCCTGATAATTACAGTAGTTCTCAAACTGCTTAATACACGTATTACAATTACAATCGATATATTATTAATTGAAGTGATATTGTAAAATATACGAAAAAAAGGTATATTGGATACAAAAAGCCTACTTACTGGTCAAATAAATAATTTATCTGACGAATTCATCAACGCTCGTTACATATGCATTGTAAAAGCGAACCTAATCAATGGGCAGACGTGGAATATTTTTAAAATAGAATTACAATTGGGATTCGATTCAGAATGCATTTTCCGGTAGGATAAGCATTTTAATTTTATTTTCATCACATTCAATAAAAATGAAATAGTTTGTAAATGCGTAATTTCTTAAATTAAAAATAATAAAAATTCATAATATTTATTTAACGATTCATAACATAGTTTCTAGCAATCACGGGACGCCCCCGAATGGTCGCGTGCTAAACTACACCCTAAGACGTGCAAAACTTGCTCCTGAAATATTGATTTTGGCTGTAACATGTTTCGGAAATTATTAGTGACACAGTATGTAAGGGGGACGGTTGACGTATTTCAGAGATTCTCCCCTTTGATATAAATTTCTGACGTGACAGTTTCAGAACTCATATCACCAAGATGTATTAAGAGTTATCAGGTGGGGGTTAAATTTGTTGTGGAAAATAATTATGGTTTAAGTGATATTTTACAAAAATTTTGTTTCTGAAACTTTCTTTTTGCCAGAAACACAACTTTCATAGATATACCGAAAATAAAGCAAAATAAATCAACAGAGTCAAGTCAAGTCAAAAAGGAACCAATGTTATTAAGCTTTTCTCCTCAATCTTACATAATCTTACATAAACATCTACGTTAGATGCGCAAGAAGTGACCAGGTCGAGCAGCAACCAAAAGTCTTATAAACATAATGTAATCGTGGCTGCGTGAAGGTCGCTGCAAGAAAAATTAGCAATAAGTCTATGCGATAGTAGAGAAGAGTCTTCTTAATTAGAAAGATGCGGCCGAGGTTCAGTTTATTTCAACCTGAAACTCTGGTCATCATATTGTGGCATCTCGACTTTATCAGGTTGATCTTTTGATTAATTATCCTACTTCCTGTTTCAAGAACCTAGGTACAGTTTATAATTAGAATGTTTTTTAACACAATAAAATCTAGTAGATAATTTCAGTGTCCTGTAGGTAATTCTAGTAGATAGGTTCTTGGTTTCAGTAAAAATTAGCAAGAAGTCATTGCGATAGTAGAGAAAGCTATAAAGAGTCTTCTTAATTAGAAAGATGCGGCCGATTTTTAGTTTATTTCAACCTGAAACTCTGGTCATCATATTGTGGCATCTCGACTTTATCAGGTGAAGTTGTTGATCTTGATTAATTATCCTACTTCCTGTATCAAGAACCTAGGTACAGTTTATAATTAGAATGTTTTTTAACACAATAAAATCTAGTAGATAATTTCAGTGTCCTGTAGGTAATTCTAGTAGATAGGTTCTTGGTTTCAGTAAATGTTAACAAGAAGTCATTGCGATAGTAGAGAAAGCTATAAAGAGTCTTCTTAATTAGAAAGATGCGGCCGATTTTCAGTTTATTTCAACCTGAAACTCTGGTCATCATATTGTGGCATCTCGACTTTATCAGGTGAAGTTGTTGATCTTTTGATTAATTATCCTACTTCCTGTATCAAGAACCTAGGTACAGTTTATAATTAGAATGTTTTTTAACACAATAAAATCTAGTAGATAATTTCAGTGTCCTGTAGGTAATTCTAGTAGATAGGTTCTTGGTTTCAGTATGGAAATGTTAGAGATTGGTCCCAATAACTATTTTACTGAATGATCTCAGTATTCAAAGGAGTATTGTAATATCTTGTTGTTGGGTACAACATCCAGTGTGAATGGATGATGTCTCATCTTGACTTTTGCTGTGCTTAAATTTTTATAAATAAGTTGACAAAGAGAAATGATAACAACGTTCTGATATAATTAATTAATTCAAAACGAATAGGTGAATCAAAATCTTATGATCAAATTTTTTTATGAGGGAAAAGGCAAAAAAAAATTAGGTTTATGCTACTAAATTTACTATAACACGAATAATCGCTCTTAATTATAAAGTCGTGACATAGTAATCTGATGTTTGCTTGATATGACCTTTACACGCATTTATGTATGAAAAAGAAAGGAAATTAATTATGAAAAATCTCCACCTTAATGATTTAAATTATAATAAAAACGTCGAGATATTCGGTAGTTGTTAATAAAAAAGTGATTTATTATTATTTTAATCATTTCATGATTTGTAATAAAATTCAAGTTAATTAAACATTCCGTATAATCTTTCGGGTTTAATTTGAAATAAAAAAATTAGTAGAATTAATGCTACACATTCAGGTTACATATAAATCGAATACCTGTTCCGGGTTAATTACTATTTGACAAACAAAATTTACAATTGGTATAAATATTTAATTCATATATGCGGACGTACATTTTACAAAATTCATGATTTGAAACAATGTAAATACCAACTACATTTTACCAACAACAAATAACGAGGTAGAGTTAGAATAAATCTTATAGAACTGTGTTTATTATAAACTTAATTTAATTGAAGTTAATTAATATTAATTAGTAATTATTTACTTACCTTATTTTAAAATAAATTTTGATATTAAAGGGCTTAAAAATATTTTGTTGACGTCATACTATGGTTGAATTATAATGGGTACATTTTTCGTAGCGGTACATGGCGTGGTTTAGGTCCCTTTAAAATTGGGTTACGCGAAACACGCGAACCACGGTATAAAGTTGTATTAGCCAACCGGAAGATGAACTAATAATTTATGACCGCCTTATCGTAACTTTTAAATCATGTGAGTTTTCGAAAAATACAATTAGTTTTGTAATTGATAAAAATAACCTTATTTGTGGTTATGTTTTGAACTGCGTTGCATTTTTGGGTGTGCGTCCAAGAAACTTTGGGATAGTATTTCCGTAAATATTTTCATTTCAATATTTCCTCAAGTGTCGGGTTTTCATTGTATACAACGATTCGGCCGCGTTCCAAGACTTTCTAGAAAGTATTACGATTCATGAAAACTTAACTATATTTACGTTATGTAACTGAAATGCATTATGATTATTGAAATAATCAAATTGAGTATTGGGAGTTGAGGAGGATGTTAAATAAGGTTAGGAGGGAACACTATACCGCCTTGGTAGCTGCTACCGCAGCCGCGGACATGTAAATAGTTTCAGTGTAACATGAATATCTCGGCGTGTCGGGCCCGTCTGCTCTGTTCGCGTCTAATTTTAACCGTTGATACATAGAAGGTCTCGACTATGCTCGCACTCACGTTTGGGACACATATAGATGCCGGCGTCGCGACTCCCACGGCATTCCAGCGGCGTTTTCAGTACCTGTTGTGATGGTCTCGGGTTTCCAACGATCAACACCTTTCTTGTAAATTTTAAATTCTTCGACGTTCGCAATGTCAACCACAGCTGGTTGAAGGGGACCAAATACAGAACTGAAAATTTGACCCGGATTCAACCAGCTAAAGCTGCACATTGACAGAAGATTATGATCCAAAACCAAATTCACCATATTATAAAAACATCTTTGCAGTAGAAGAAGGAGTAATAAAATCATTTATTTACACTATAAAAGAAATTTCTTGAATTCCTCCAAACACTACTCTTTAAAAGTTTTTTTTTCCTCTTTGCACGTTTCGAAGATGAAACAATGAGAGTTTTACTTTCCGGATGGTCACTATAATAAGAGTATATGGACCTGATGTGTCGATTTACGGATGCGTCCGTGGCGTCGTGACGCTATCCGGATCTCAACTGAGCGTCGCAGCATCGTGACGCCGGTGGGACGCCGCCTTCAGGACCGGACTGGCATGCGCGCACCGACTGGGCTGCCGGTCACACCCACCAGCAGCACCGCATTCCTGCACATTAACCCCGGGACACCCTTCGGGAACACCTTGTGCCGATGCAACCCAATTCACTACTGCCCTACACGAAACGAAGGGGCCCTCGGGTATCCCGGTGGCGGCGGCGCCGACGCCGCGGCGTCTCGGCCCCGAACTCATACAGACTAACACACACACTCTTACCCAGCCCAATCGAATCATTGCAATTCTCGTCGCACCATAAACCATTCGGCCTTTTGGGCCTGTCAACGAACGCCGCTTTTTGCCGGCGTCTCCACCAAGTATCTTTTACCTGTGGTGATAAGTCAGTGAATAATCCCCTCCGGTAAAATATATTTTGTAAACGTAGAGGAAATTGGGTAATTGAAATTGTCTTAGTGATTATGTAGTGAGTTAGTGAATATTTAGCCGGTATGTAAAGATTTTATGAATGGGCTTCTCTCCCAATGTAAATATTGAACTTGGTAATTTCAACTGTTACGGACCTGACTCGAAATTTTATTCATTTCTTAATTTACTTACTTTTTTAACTTTTATTTGTTTATTTATTCGTTTCCATGCATTATTTATTTTTTTATCCAAGGACTTTATTTCTATTCGAAAACGGATACCATCCTGCTAAAAATGTATTACATTCTCATCCTCGTCGAAAACCATCCCTTCTGTTGATTTTGATTTATCCGTTATTTATTCTACCGAGTTTATCCCACCACGTCCTCCTTCATATTTATATTCTAATCGAGCTTTAAAAAAATCTCAACCTAGGACTGAAAAACTATTCATTTCTAAAACCTCCCCCGTTTGAAAGAGATAAGAGCGAAAGGTAACAGTAACGGTTTCGATATAGGCGGACAATATCTCGACCCCAAAGCTTTTTCAAACGAAATCGTTCTATATATGCAAACTTTCTGGACCCCGAGAACCAACCGGTAAGGCCATCTATTTTTAGGTCACATTTACATCGAGGAAAGGAGGTGCCGTGCAGAAAGCTCGGCCGTGTCACGTGCAGGTACACTCCCAAGAACAAGGTCTTGGCGATAACCTCGAGGGCTTTCGGGTCTGTACCTACCCCCCACCTACTCTCCTCCGTAATATTTCTTGCCCTATTTTTATATTAAAACGAGGAAATATATTGCCTAATAATTTCGTTAGATTTATAACGTTGGGAAAAGGCACGTCAAAAGCGACTATAGCATAACTTTAAAACGGCTTCCGACCGAGGTAGCTTGACAGATATAATGGAAGATCAGGCGTGAATGATAAATTAACCTATTTTGGTGGATCAACAAATCCGCAAAGTAAGTCATTATTTAATGTTTACGTTAAATAATAGTATAATGATGTATCATAGAAATGATTAATCTTTTAAATTTTATATTACATCATTTGAATAAGCTTATTAAAATGAGTTGCTTTCTTATTAAGTTGAGAATTTTACTGATTCAAATACCAGGAATTCTGTTTTAGAGGGGTTTACTTTATTGACAAAGATACAACTGAAGTGGAGATCGTCATTAATTTATTCCATATTAATTTGAAAATAATTAATAAATTATTACAAAAATTAATACAAGCTGTATGTTATATTTTATACATTTATATTTAATAACTCACTTTTGTATATAATTTAGCTCATAATAAAGCTCTACAGTACGTTTCTTTTATTTCTATTTTTCAATAGTTGAAGCATAAAGCTTCCAATATAGTAAAATTGGGAGTCGTTTCTCAAGTCAATTGGAGAAAAGAACTATAAAGTGACCACCTTTAATTCATCTCCTTTCCTAAACGAGCAGTTCTCAGAGCAACCCTCAGTGCACTACAACAACATTCTGTCAAGGTGTATCATCAATTACTATAGAGTGGTCTCTTTGAAAAAAAGGCTACTAACCGAGATACAGACAAAATCATAAAAAAAATTGCAACAAACTCAAAAGCAAACTTTTAGAAAGCTAAACTATCGTAAAATTTACGACTAGAAAAAACATTTAATAAAAAATACTTCTAGATACAAATTTTGACATTAATGAATACAATTAGTCAAAATATATCATAATTCATCAATCAATTCTTTGTGGTAGGTTTTGAAGAAGGTTATGGACCCTGTTTGGCACCGAAACTTGCATGGCAAATTTTCTTCTTGAAACCAGTTTCGATTTTTCACAACATTAGTGATGTAAATATGCATTCACAAGTACAATGTTCAGAATTCCATACAATTCGCACAGAGGCCACCGTTTAGTCTTGCGAACGGCTAAAGTCGAATGATTTAGTTCTAGATAGAGTGTTAGTTCTAGTAACAGTGTTGAGTAGCGCTAGTAAGCACTAAATAGTGCTAGATTGTATGTTGTTATTGAACTAAAACTAGAACTAATACTAGAACTAGAAAGTTTTGGGTTTTGGACACTTCTCGAGATCTTTAAAAATCGTTTGGTAATCTTTATCACGGTCTAGAAAGCGTTTAACCCTTTGTGTCCCGACGGTACTTTAAAGTACCGGTAATTTTAAACACTCATTTTAAACTGTAGTTATCTATTCGGCGCATTTAGAGCTGTCTGTACTTTCTACTATACAAGTGTATACAAGAAATAATCTGTATAAAAAACGTCGCAATCCGCACTGTAGGATTTTTAGGTACACTTTAAACTTATTCATCCAGATGTGAGGTTAGAAGTTTAGTGAAAAGTGGTGCTGTTGAATTTTGTTGTTCAAGAAGGTATTACTTTGATAAATGGTTATTAGGTGTGATTATTACAGATCATTTTAAAAAGAAAACATTGAGCTTAAATTTAAAATAAGTCTCATTCCTTAATTTCAATAAACATGGTTTCTAAGAATTTTTAAATTAGCATCTTTTTTGACACTTTTAGGTTATACGAAAATGTTAGTTTTAACTCAATACTCTTTTTCTCAATATTTTTTTAATTCAACCCATCGATTGTTATACATCGATTTAAACAGAAAGCTTCAAGCTTCAATTTAAAATAAGTTTTATTTCTTAATTTCAATAAACACGGTTTCCAGGAATTTTTGAATTATTATTTGATAATTATAGAGACCATTAGAAAGCTTTTGGATTTTAAAGATGTCCAAAAGTATGGACATCTTTAAAATCCAAAGAACTAACACTAGAACTACAAACATTCGGGTTTAGCCGTTCGTCTCTTAAGACTTTCTAGTTCTAAGTCTAGTGTTACTTCTAGGTTTATTTGTTACTCAGCGCCAAATTGTTGTGTATCTTTATTGAACTCATAATTTTTACGATAGTTTAGCTTTCTAGGGTTAAAATTCTAGTTACTTATTATTAATTAAAATGTACAAAGTATTCTAAATAAAATTATATTGCATGGTTTGTTCGCAGCACATAATTTTCCAATTTAATTTTATGGTGAATAACCCTTTTTGAACAAATTTAAATTACAAGTACTGGAAAAATTTTCATATGAATTGGTGGTTTCGACATTTTGGGACGATTTTGAACAATTGGCGGGTTTGAATTATTTAATTTAATCATGTTTTAACGATAAATTTATATGAAAATTTGTATAGAAGTTTACTTACCAGTTTCATTACTTTATACATCAATATAAGCTGTTGTAGTGCATGTCGAGAGATTAAATTATATTCGAAGGCGTCGCGACGGTCCGCCGCCGAAGACGCCGACGACGACGCGATAAAACGGGACGTTTCAATACACTTCGAAAAGTTTCTTCATGATATATGAGTTCGTATATTGAGAAAATTATAAATCACCTACTTCGGAACTTGTTAAGAGTTCGCTGGCGGCGCGCGGCCTTTTCCTTTCCTCTTTTTTGACTTCGTGCCACATCAATTTCGGGGATCTGTGTTGAGCCGAACTTCGCTGGCACTTTTATCCTGCAGATATTGACCGGCCTGAACGCGGCAGCAGCACCAGCAGCAGCAGCAACGCCGGAAGCCTTCTCTTATCTGGGCAACGCAATTAGAACTGTGTTGAACTATGCCGTCCCGGCTGGGTTTAAAGCGGCGACGTACAATTTACCAATTTGCTCCGATAGATTGAATGGACCAAAGCGGCTTTTCATTACAAACTTACGCCCTAACGTGGTTCGCACTGTTTTTAATTAGACCCTTTTCTTTTGAAACTGTTCACTGCGTCGTTTTCAACGACTATGTTCAACTGCGTTCGCTTAGAAAAAGTCAACATAAACTCTATTTAATTAAAATTAAATAAAACATTTGGAAAACACAAAAATATATTTTATAGCTTTTTTCCTCGAGGACGAATCCGAATAAGTCGGCGCATTTTCGCGAGCGCTTAATTTGAATATCTGAATAGCGTGTAAAATAAATTACTGTTTTGCGCCGGAGGCTGAAGGGGGACGCTTAACCCGTTCCCGTTTCCGGAATAATATCGTTAATCTGGAAGGTTCCTACAGTTAATAAGACGCCGACGACGAAATCCCGCGAGAAATATTGCCGGGAATTTATCACCCTGAAAAGTTCCCGTCGAGGGCGAAAAGCTCTTACGTCGAAAGGTTTGTCACCTCCTTTGAAAATCGGATTTGACCTGAATGGATCTAAAAGATCCCTCCTGTTCAACTACTTCATTACGGATTATACCAAATTCCAACGCCCTTTTAAACAAAAAATTTATTATGAGCAAAAAAGATTAGAATTCATCTATTGCTTATGTCAACGAAGAATTCGCAATTTTCGCTTTAGCTAGTCTATGGTATGCCCTCTTTCACGCATCCTCGATCCCTGCTTCCGATCCCTTTGACGTGCCCTTAATATGAAGATGCGATGGTGCCCCCAAAGAAAGGGTAGCCCGAAAAGAACAGGTGCCCCGAAGGTCACCTTTTGATCTTTTTCTCTTCGGTTCTCGCGTGTGCTGGTCGCCCACTTTGTCTTTTCGTCGAGAGCTTTTCATTAGGGAGACCCAAAAATAACCACCAAGTAGAAAATGTTGTACTTTTTACGTTACATAAAAACACAAAATATATAATATTTTACAAACCGAATCTTTTTGGTCTATTTAAGTGAATGCGGCGATCTTTTTCATCGGAACAGGTCAGCGGTAAAGTGTGGTCTGGTTTCGGGGGTGAGATTATTCGTAAAAGTTTGTGTGGCGAAGAAGGGCGGCAACGGTGGCTTCTCCAAAGTTCCTAGACAGCTTTCGGATTGTGAAAGGGGCGGAATGCGCGCGATTCGCATTATTTACGGCGGCGCCGCGCCATGAGGCCACTTCGGTCTTCAGATGAATTCACAAAGTATTCAGATTTCGTTATGGTCACGTTATTGCGTGAAATTTTTCCACCGAGTAACTCCAAAGAATGGTTTAACTTTATACTTTAAACTTTTATAATTTTATTTTTACTAAGAATTTTTATTTCTTTTTGGCGGAGGAGCCGGTATAAAATGATAATTTGTTTTTTTTTCGATCAAATATAAATCTCGATTGGGTCGTAGACAGATTTATGTCGAAACTTGAACGTTTAGAGGCCGAAAAATGTACATGGGACACGGATCGACATGAATGTTTCACAAACCCAACGGTCGCGCCCACTTGACGTTTATTCTAGGGCCGTCGAGGGTACTATACTTCACGACCGAACCCCCCTACAGAAGGTCACTCTGAATGCCGCTCTCATAAATGCAACGATAAATCGTTCGATCGCCGTCAAAAAGTTGCACAGCAATAAATCACGATCGACCGCCAACGGGAAATACACACCCATTTATGTCTAAATGTGCTTCACCAAAAGCTCTTAGGTAAGCGTTGAAACGCAAAAGTAAGTCTTCTTGAGAAATTACATTTATTGACTGGTAAATAACTTGTTTATCGAAACGTTTCTCTTTTAAGAATGAAGAAATATTTCATCGTTTTCCTTACAATCCGTGATTTTTTATTGTATTTTGGCATACCGCATTGATTATTGGAGCGTGGTAATATGTCAGGCATGTTGACATTGTATTTAATGGTTCAGTATTTCACTCGAAATGAACGGAATACAGATGCGTTCATATGAAATGTATTATGCATATGCACATCCACACGGAATAGATTGTTCTGAATTTAGATTGTTGAATTCTAACGCATTAACAAGATCTTATTGATAAATTAAATATGTCTATATATTACATAAAGACATTTACATCAATATAACCAATAAAAATTGGGAAACATAATGTTACATAAATTTATCTACTATCACTAAAACTTACACTAGACCTAGAAGTAGAAACATTCAGGTTTAGCCGAATGTCTCTCAAGACGGCTAAACCCGAATGATTCTAGTTCTGGGTCTTGAGTTAGTTCTAGGTTTAGTTCAATAAAAATATGCAACATTCTAAGATCTCGTGCTAATTAGCGCTACCTAGCGCGGTTACTAGAACTAACACTAGAATCATGACCTAGAACTAGAATCATTCGGGTTTAGCCGTCTTGAGAGACGTGAGGCTAAACCTGAATGTTTCTAATTCTAGGTCTTGTGTTAGTTCTAGTTTTAGTTCAATTAAAACATGCAACATAGTAATATCTCATGCTAACTAGCGCTACCTAGCACAGTCACTAGAACTAACACTAGACCTAAAACTAGAAACATTCAGGTTTAGCCTCACGTCTCTCAAGACGGCTAAACCCGAATGATTCTAGTTCTAGGTATTGTGTTAGTTCTAGTTTTAG